CAATGTCGCCTTTTGTTACCGATAATAGTTGTAACATGATGACCATAAGAATTTTCAGGTGTAGTGATGAAAATTGACTAGGATGGATTCTTGTACTCATATATTTTTTTACTTGGGGAGTTTTCAAAAGTGCAATAGTTATTGCCCGCCGAAATGTCAGTAATGATTTTTTATCATCAGAAATCACTCGACTCCATAACTTTCATGAATTTACTACTGCTACATCAATAAAATTGCTTAGGCCACCACCATTTTTTTACCTCATATATTTATTCTCTATGTTGACACTAGGTTATCGCACATGTGGGAACTATAGGAATTTATATATTCGGTTGTGTAATTTTTATTTTTGAGAAAATCTTTCAAGAGAATCTCGATACGTTTCATAGAGGGCTAAGAACCTTATATGTTGATACAACTGTCACCACTGAACTATCATTTTATCGATCTACAAATCATATGTCTTTTCAAATTGATAGTCGTAATAGCCCCTCTCTTTTTTGCCATAACTTCATTGTTTCTAGGCGAGAATTTTCAAGTCTATTTTTCTTATAGTCCCATTGAAAAATCCAAGATGCTTCAAATGCGATAAAAGCTTAGAGATGTAAAAAAATTATCGAAGTAAATAGAATGCAAAGAAGGTACTTGAACAATTTGAGTAAATTTGTAACAACCATACCTCCTAATCCAAGATTCGAAGCCATTGGGCTTTTATTTTTACCTTGATATATATTAAATGCAAATACATATATATCCATTGGAGGGAGCAAGGGCTAGTGATTTATATCCAAATCGAATGGGTTTATCTTTGAACATTTTACAGGAATGTCTTGTTATAAATTATATAAAAATATACCGAATTGTTGAAACTTTTATTTAATAAATTTAAATATGGGTGGACTTTATAAATATTATCATCTTCATCAAGAGTTGAGTTATTAGATAAATGTTTCCTTTTGATATTGCCAAATATAATGTCATTGAATTCCTAACGATTGGTATGGTGGTATCATTGTCATTCGAATAATACATTCTTTCTTAGTAAGGAATTATATTCAGTCAGTAAAAGAATTCCTATAAATCTTCTCATCTCTGACTCGGTTGTAATAAAATTTGGTCTATTGTTTTGTTTAATTATGTTATTGATCCACAAGCAGGGAATACATTTTTTGATAAAAAAATAATTCAAATATTTCTATTTTAGTTTTTCCTATTAAATCAAATTGAAATTCTATAATAATTCATTATCATTAGCAGTAGGTCTCGATGTGTAAATTGGATCTTTCTCCATTTTAAATTATTTAAATTTACAGGGTTTTCCATTCAAAAAAGAAGTTCCAATCAAAAAAGGAAAAGTTTTAATCATAAAAGGAAAAGGTCCGATCAAAAAAGGAAAAGGGTCAATCATAAAAGGAAAAGGTCCAAACAAAAAAGGAAAATTCCCAAAAAGAAAGGAAAAAGTCCGATCAAAAAAGGAAAAGTGTCAAACAAAAAAGGAAAAGGTTCAATCAAAAAAGGAAAAGGAAAATTCCCAAAAGGAAAGGAAAAGTGTCAATCAAAAAAGGAAAATCGTAATTTTTTAAAATTATTTGTCAATTTTTCTTAAATTTTTATTTATTTTTGTTATTCCTTCTTAATTTATTTCTAATTTTTTGCTATTTCTTTACGTTTTTTTTCATACTTTATCTTTTCTCAATTTTTTTCTAACTATTTGCGATTTTCCATACTTTTATTTTTCTTACTATATTTTCTCTCAAATTATTTTTGTTCTCATTTTTGATAATTCTTTTGTATTTTTAAAAATAATTTATAAATTTAGGCCCAATTTTTTTAACAATTCTTTACGTTTTTTTTTCATCATACATACAATATCTTTTTATAATTTTTTCATTGTAATCTTTTACATACATTTTTAATCTCTTTAAGTCATTTTTAATCTTTATTTTTTTGAGCATTTCTCAATTTTTTTCTTTCTCATTTTTGATAATTTTAAAAATAAGAATTTAAAAAAGATTGTATTTTATTAATTTACATATCGTTTGGTATTACAGTTCAAACTTATTTAATTTTAAAAAGGTACATTATTACCAAACGATTAATTTAATTTAGCAATTGTAATTATATTGTCTGCCAAAAACATTAATTATAATTTTAAAAAATAATTATCAAAAATGAGAAGAAAAAATTGAATGCTCAAAAAAATAAAGATTAAAAATGACTTAAAGAGATTGAAATGGTTAGAAATGTATGTAAAAGATTACAATGAAAAAATCATAAAAAGAATATTGTATGTATGATGGAAAAAAAACGTAAAGAATTGTTAAAAAAATGGACCTAAATTTATAAATTATTTTTAAAAATACAAAAGAATTATCAAAAATGAGAAGAAAAATAAATGGAGAGAAGATATAGTATGAAAAATAAAAGTAAAGAAAATCGCAAAAAGTTGGAAATAAATTGAGAAAAGAAGTAAGAAAAAAACGTAAAGAAATAGTAAAAAATTTAGAAATAAATTAAGAAGGAATAACAAAAATAAATAAAAATTTGAAAAAATTACGATTTTCCTTTTTGAATGGGAAATTTCTTTTTTTGATTGACACTTTTCCTTTCCTTTTAGGAATTTTCCTTTTTCAATTGACACTTTTCCACTTTTGTTTGACACCTTTCCTTTTTTGATTGAACCTTTTCCTTTTTTGTTTGACACTTTTTTGAGAATTTTCTTTTTTTGATTAACACTTTTCCTTTTTTGATTGAACTTTTTCCTTTTTTGATTGAACTTTTTCCTTTTATGATTAACCCTTTTCCTTTTATGAACTTTTCCTTTTTTGATTGGGACTTTTCCTTTTTTGAATGGGAAACCCTGTAATTTGCTTTCTTATTTGTAGATATTGAGGATTCTGAGACAATATCAATGTCTGCTAGATATTGGATTTCGATCTCCTCGGCTGTATCTAGTTGAAGATTTGGTGTTTTAGTTAGATCGTTTTCATCGAAATCTTCTTCATCGCTAACTAAAGCAGCATTGGGGTATAATTAGAGATAATACTTTACAAATAATTTTTATATTCAAATGGAAAAATATAATGAGAATAAGAATAAAATTATGAATTTTCTGATTTTTTTTTATAATAATAAAAATATTATGATGAAAAAATAGTATTTTTATTTAGTAAGAATATAAACAAAAATTTATAATTAAATATTATGCCAAATTTTTTTTAGAAAAATTGCTTTTTTGAGCCTTTATGTGGTCAACGTTGCATAAATGCTACAGTAAAAAACATATGATTACAAATCCGAGAATAGATAGAATGATGGGCCAAAATTAATTAGAATATGTTAAGGCATCTATAAGAAATAAATTTATGTCAATTGCATTAAAAAAATAAATACTCTTTCAACGAGGGAGCCTAGAACATTTGCCATTTTAATAGTCCCGAATACTCAAAAATAAATATTTTTTAAAAAATGCTTTTTTTATGTTGTAGTACAATCTTCGAGCTATAGAAATTATTTCAATTTAAAAAATTTATATGTGAAAAATCAATAAATAACAACTGTTGCAGATATGGTACGTTGACCATTCATGGGTTAATATAATACACATTTTTATACAAACAATTGATTGTTTGACTTTCGGACATGGTTCCGATATATTTTACTTATTTCTAAATGCAATATTGAGCAAGTCCCAAATAAATAACTGACTCTCTTACAACAAATACATTTTACAGTTTCTTATTTTAGTTAACTGTTAATAAAGATTTCTTAGCCTATCATTAAACAAAAGTACACAGTTAGTGTATAAAATTTAAAACTTAAATAATCATTCAATTACACTTAGAGATACATATAATCTCTTTTTTTTATCGTTTGAGTCAAATGAATATTTGATCCAAGATTTTTTCTGATAATTTGTTGAAAATTGCGTTTATCCATAGATCTTGTCACCTTTGAGCACAATGTAGGCAGATTTGACGGAATTAATAAATTTATTAATATTGTCTGATCATTTTTCTACTTATATGGAGTTTTTCAGCTGTAGCTAAATTTTATCCTTCTTTATGTAAATCAAGAATTTAAGTATGACCTTGTTTTTGCAGATGTTCAAAAGCAGACGATTTTACCTTCATTCTAACATTATTTATGATTATAACCATTTAAAACTGACTAAAACACGAAATTTAAAAAAACTTGATTTTTGAATTATAATAATTTTATATAAATTGCCATAACTTCGAAATTAGTAATTCAAAATAGATTATTAAATCATCATTGGAATCTTGAAATTAACTTAAATTATCATATTGAAATCATTTGGGTCAAAATATAACTGCATGCAAAATTTTACGTGCAACGATTAATAAAAATGATAAAATTTAAAACTACACGAGCACAGTTTGTAACGAATTATCGGAGAAAATCGCTGATCAAACCTTGTTCATTTGACTTAAAAATTGAGAGAAACGGCTATTATCTTTCTCAAGTTCCGATACAAACTTAGACTCGTCGCTAAAAACAAATTTTGACGATTTGGTAAAGGTCCAATCTTCATATTTCTTTGCGAAATTGTTTCTTTCGGTAAACGATTTATAGAGGTTATTACTGGGCGGCATATCTAAGACTTGGCCCATATAACCAGGTCGGGATTTGATTCGGGCCTGCATATGTCTCTGGTAAAAATACTGATATTTTTAATTATTTGTTAACTAACAAATAATAGATTGTCAATGAGGCTTTTGATCTTCTCAAATTTTTACACATTTAATTCTTTTAGATTAAGAAGACAAGTTTTTGAATGCTTTTTAACTAAAAATGCTTAGAAATTAAGATGTATGGATCAATAATAAATATGCATAAATTCAACACTCTAGGGCAGATTAGGATTATAATCATTTTTAATTAGATAGTTATTTGAGAATCAACAAAGACTAAATACAAATTTAATTTTTCTTCCAAACCTTGAAAATTTATTAATAAATTTTATAATCATAATAAAGTTTCTGAAGAAAAACATCAAAAATTACTAAATGATATGCAAAAGGAAGGATTTGGTCTGAAGAATAACGCCCTAGATAAAAGATTGACAGATTTTAATGCTAATCAAGTTTGTACATAGTATAATTAATCATCTTCGCAATTAAAATTCCAACTAAAACGCATTGCCAACGAGTCATAATCTCTGTGAGAAGCTAACATTGGGTATTTGGTATTATTTATTTGGTATTTTTGCAAACAAATAATAATGTTGAAAAATACTTAACTTTCGTTTTTGGTATTGGATTAAAAGTGATTGTTTATTATAAATTTTAAATGACACTACTAGTAAAATAAAAATATTATTACTAATTATTTTATGGTTGTAATATTTATCAGAAGTCTGCAAGTGGCAAAATTTTTACCAGCCCAGAGGGAATTAAGTTAATGTCCAATCCAGTTTCATTTTTTTACTAAGGTTGCCCAGCCCGATTTGAATTTTTTTTTAAATACAATACAAGGCCTAAACCAAAATATATGTTGTTGAACACCAAAATAAACACTTATTTATAATCTTGAGGAGTGTTTAAATTAAAAACATTAATATCATTTTATGAAATATCGGAATTTATCAAATATATATACAAAAAATTTTTGCCTGGCCCATTAATTTTTTTGCCCAGTCCAGCTTCAAAAATTTTTTTCCATGGGCTGGGCATTGCAGATCTGATATACATCGAGCAGAGGTCGACAGATCAGCCCATAGAAATTTTTGAAAATTAATTTTGTCCTGGCCCGTATAATATTTTTTATGAAAAAAAGCCATAAATTTGTCCAAATTTAAGCTTAAAAAATTTCTAACTTACGGTTTGGCCGGTAAAAATATTTTGCACAAGTTGCCTAGCCCAATACTATTTTTACCAGGGCTTGAACTGGCGCTAGCCTCTAATATTGAGTAATGTAAGCTCCCCTCTAGATATTGTATTATAATCAAAACTATAATTTTATAAAGATAGCGAAATATTTAAAAATAAAAAAATTTACCAATGGAATTATTAGGATTGCTATACTATAGTTAATGTATTGTTTGAAGGTGGTGTAGATAATATAGATTCACAATTCTACCTCTTCATTACTACTTCGGCAGTTGATTTGTAAGAAAATTCTTCTGTGAATAAATGTTGTCTTTATTAAAATATAAACGAAAAATCAGCGGGAAATTGATAGAAATTCTGGTAGATGCTAAAATATTATATACTTTTTTTATTTTTAATTAATTTGATTAAAAATTTTTTTTATAAAAGTAAAAAATAATTTTTTAAAAGGATCTTAGGAACGTTCATTAATAAAAGAATCTCAATCAAAGATCAACTTTAAAGTGGATCAAATCCAGGATCGTCGATCCTTTGATCACAATCCTTTAACAATTCTAATTTAGATAATACTCATCTCACATTAAACAATATATAAATTTAAAGTGTGTACATCGAGACCCACTATATTTTTGTTGCGATACTGTATCTCTAGGACTTAACTTTGGTCTGATCATTAAAAAAAAATTACTCATATTCTTTTTGTTAAAATCTGTTTCTTTAAATTTTATGGGCTTTGGTTCCAATAAATTAGAAAGAGAGTTCTGGTTCCACTTATTATATAAGAATTTGCGAAAAATACCAAATAAATATTTTAGCTCTTATATTATTCAAAATATAACTCAATGTTCTTTTGCTCTTTAAAATTTTCATAGAGATTATGACTTCTTGGCTATGCGTTTTTTCCGTCGGTAATAAAAAATTAACTATACTGATTATCTATTCAATTGTTATTTTTTAAAGGACCTGATACCTTACGATGACAAAGAGGATCTTGATATATCATCCGCCGATAACATATTACGAGATTTGAATTACATCAAAACATTATCCTCGTCTCAAAAAGTTTTGTTGTACAAGTAAAAGAAAATATTATTATAACGATCCCCTTTATTATTTTCCCATTTTTTAGTGTTTTAATTTCGGGTTCTAAGAATTTTATATTTTTTTGAGCTTTCGCAAACATTTTTAATTTCTTGTTTCTTGAGAAATGTAAGGGTAATTCCATACCATGTCGATAACTTTTCTGCTCGACCTTTTTAATTTCGATAAAATTTGTATACTGAGAGAATATCATTAGAAAGCATCGAATCCAAAATTTTAGCCTCCTAGTACTTATAGTTCCTGAGATATCAATGGTCAAAAGTGCCAAAAATGACGTTTTTTCGAAAAATGCGATTTTTTAAAATTGAGATAAGTTAAAAAATAATGATTTTAAAAATATAAGTTATATGTCAATTTATAACTCTATTAAGGGCCTTTTATTGAATATTAAAAAATTTTTCAAAATAATATTGTTGCGGTTTTTATTTAAGTTATAAATTTTAAACATGAAAACTCCAAGTGTTTCGCTTTCCAAATTTTTCTGAATTTAATATTTTCTTATTCTCTAACCTTATATCTATTCATAAAAAAATTTAAACTTGGGACAGCCATGGGTTTTTTAGTTATTGCGATTTAAAAAATCAAAAAATAAATATTATTTTCAAAAATAGATGGCGCTCCTTTATAAAATTACGCGTTTTGTTAAAATTATTATTTTTTTTAAACTTTTTTCCATTTTAAACATAAATAATAAGTTTTTCCAGCATTAATATTATGAAAATATATTATTTAGATCATTTGATAGACTTACTTATTATTATTATTACTTTATTGATAACCTGTAAAAATTATTAGTTTTTATAATAAATGATTAATTTACTAAAAAAATAGTTACAATTCCTATATAAGAAAATATAATTAATTTTTGAAAGATAATAGCAAGTTTTCATGCACCTGCCTTGATATTAATTAATTTTTATTTTACAAATATTTCAATATTAATTTTTTCTTAAAATTATTTATAATGTATAAATATAAATGTGCAAATCCTTTTAAAGAATCTAAACACTTTAATTGTAAAAAGAACCTGCGTAAAGTCACGACGTGGATGACCCAATTTCCAAACATATAGGCGGAACACTATATTTGTGATAAATGTCGTAAGCATTTATCACAAAAAAATATTGAAAATATAAATTCTGATAGCGAATATGTAAATAATATCCCCACAGCATCCGCATCAATAGATACAATCAATTTAACCTTAAACGAAATTGGAATATCTCCTATTAAGAAAAAAAAACTAACTGAAAAAAATTATCCAAAAAAAAGATAGCAAAAATATCAAAAGCTCTTTCAGATATAATAATTAACAATCCAGAATCGGACACAAAAGACAATAATGATATACTCAACAATATGAAATTACATTATCCTAATTTATCTAAAAATAAAAAAATATCAATTGCTGACCATTCTGCCTCCTAATTGGAGTGCAAATAAAATAAAAACGGAATTCAACGCTACATATCATATGGCATATAATTCCAAAATCATTTTAGAAGAAAAGGGGATTCTTTCAACTCCAAATCGAAAGCCTGCAATATCTCAATCAAAAAACAGTTGATATTGTTAAAAGTTTTTTTTGCAGTGATGAAGTTAGCAGGGTATTACCAGGAAAAAAAGATTGCATATCTATCATTGAAAAGGGGGAACGAGTGAACGCTCAAAAAAGGCTAGTTCTTAATAATTTAAAAGAATTATATAATCATTTTAAGGAGAGTAATTCAAGCATAACAATTGGATTTTCGAAATTCGCAAGCTTAAGACCAAAAAATTGCATATTGGCAGGGGCTAGCGGAACACATAGTGTATGCGTTTGTAGCATACACCAGAATATTAAACTAATGATTTTAGGCTGTGAATTAGCAACATTGACTAAAAATGGTGAGGATATATTAACAACTTATAGAGATGTTATAGGCAGAATGATTTGCAACCCCCCATTACCAACCTGTTATTTTGGTGACTGTAGCGAGTGTCCTGGATCGACACTCTTAAAAGAACGCATTGAAAAATTATTTATAAAAAATGATATAGCTCTTATTACGTTTAAACAATGGGTTTCGGTAGATAGAACAACTCTGGAGACTATTTCTCAATCTTCAGACGAATTTATTAATTATTTTTTCGATAAAATGAATATTCTCATACGCCATTCATTTATTTGTGAACAACAAAGTTCATTTACAATAACCTTAAAAATAGTTTAGAAAATAATCACTATCTAATTATTTGTGACTTTTCAGAAAATTATTCCTTTATTGTCCAAGACGAAGTTCGGGGTCATCATTGGACAACTTCGCATACGCTGCATCCATTCTCAATTTATTATAAAATAGGCAATCTAATTAACAACCTAAGTTTTGTGGTAATATCGGAATCCTTAATTCATAATACTGTTTCATTCCATTTATTCCAATCGCATTTGATTAATTTTTTAAAAAATAAATTCGACACTCCACCAGAAAAAATTTACTACTTTTCATGGTTCAGCAGCTCAATATAAAAATAGGAAAAACTTCATCAATGTTTGTTACCATGAAATCGATTTTGGTGTCCAAGCAGAATGGCATTTTTTTTCTACGGCACATGGTAAAGTGCCTGCGACGGCATAGGCGGCACAGTAAAAAGGTTAGTTGCCAAGGCAAGCTTACAAAGACCTTATACTGATCAAATAATTACACCCCCCCCCCCCCCAAAGCTTTACAATTTTATAAATATGTGGAAGAGCATATAAAAGGTATAAATTTTTCTTATGCCACCATACCAGAGTATGAGGAAGAAGAGATGAGGCTACGTGAGAGATTTAGTAAAGCTATCTCAATACCTGGGACATAAAAAATTCACGCAGTGTTTCCGATTGGTTTAACTAAGCTCAAAACTAAACTATATTCTAATTCGCAGACATTTGTTGTGGAGAATATAATATATCAACTTGAAGATCTTTTGATTGAGGATCTGTTAATCGATGAGATTAGAGGATATGTAACATGTGTGTATGATAACGATTGGTGGTTAGGATTTGTACAAGAGGTGAATGTAATTAGAGATGAAATAAAAATTAATTTTCTTCATCCTAAAGGACCAGCAAATTCTTTTGTTTATCCAGCGGCACAAGATCTCCTTTACATACCAAAAAATAATATTTTACCGTTGATGGGTTAACTATTTAGTTAACCCATCAACGGCTACTGGGCGTACATATAATCTATCGCAAAACGAAATTATCATGGCGTCAAAACAATTAAATTTAAGGAAAACCCGAAAATAAGTAATATCTTTCATGAATTTTTATTTATCTATTATATTTACAAATTAATAAAATAATTTTACGAAATTTAAAATTATTAATGCTGGAAAATCTTATTATTTATGTTTAAAATGGAAAAAAGTTTAAAAAAAATAATAATTTTAACAAAACGCGTAATTTTATAAAGGCGCGCCATCTATTTTTGAAAATAATATTTATTTTTTGATTTTTTAAATCGCAATAACTAAAAAACCCATGGCTGTCCCAAGTTTAAATTTTTTTATGAATAGATATAAGGTTAGAGAATAAGAAAATATTAAATTCAAAAAAATTTGGAAAGCGAAACACTTGGAGTTTTCATGTTTAAAATTTATAACTTAAATAAAAACCGCAACAATATTATTTTGAAAATTTTTTTAATATTCAATAAAAGGCCCTTAATAGAGTTATAAATTGACATATAACTTATATTTTTAAAATCATTATTTTTTAACTTATCTTTAAAAAATCGCATTTTTCGAAAAAACGTCATTTTTGGCACTTTTGACCATTGATATCTCAGGAACTATGAGTACTAGGAGGCTAAAATATTGGATTCGATGCTTTCTAATGATATTCTCTCAGTATACAAATTTTATCGAAATTAAAAAGGTCGAGCCGAAAAGTTATCGATTTGGTATGGAATTACCCGTAAGCAGATTATAATTTTAAATCAATTTTAAATCTTACCATTTGCATTAATATTTATATTACACTTCTTATTATCAGTAATAGAACTTTTGGAAATGATCTCTAAACTTTAATAATTTCTTTTTGCATCTCTTTATTAAATATATGAAATTCCTAAAATATTAGAACGATATCCAACATAGTTACGAAGTTTTCTTCCGACCATGCTAAAAAACGTAAAAACTACGCCAAAGAACATAAATTTAAATCACCTAGCATAAGTTTATCAAAAGTTGTTAGGAGCAAAGAAAGGCATGGATACGTTGACAATTTATCATCTCAAGCAAAAATCTCGAGAAAGAAGCAGCATAAACAGGTCGATAGCTACACGAGCATTAGTAGTGGTAGTTATGAAGTAACAGAAAGGCAGAGAAGAGAATACAAGAGAAAGAAGAATTATTAATATTTTATATATGATTATTTAGTTAACGAGTATTCACTTTTTAGACATACGGGATAGAATGCACTAGGGATTAGAATATAATTTATTAAATAGATAAAGTTGAAATAAAATGATCATTTTTGGTTATAATTAAAAGTATACACCACACCTTATAATACAGATTGTATATATGAATTTATTCAAGAAAAGATTGGTCCAAGTTAGATTTGATTATTTTTTGCTATAATTGATTCCTTTGTTTATTTTAGTTTTAAATAAAAAGCGTTTATAAAATTATTGCAATCTATCATCATAATAGGGCAGTTTTTAAGTCACCGATTAGTGTTGCAAAATCTTTTCACCGGGGCCGACTCTAAAATGGCTTAAACTTCTGAGCTAAGCTTTAAAAATCGACTTAAGTTTTGCCTTAGGCAGATGTTTGTCTCATTTTGCTATATTATTGAGGATAAATTAAATAATATTAAATGACAAATATTTAAAATTTAAAATAGGCACCTTCCCTTTAAAAGTATAAATGGATGACTGAGAAATTTTTAAGGAGAATTTGGAGGAGGGAGGATATAAAGTAGAGAAAGGCTTCTGGAAATAGTCAGTGGGAATTTTTTATGCGTTTTTTGGCCCAGCCTTTAATAATTTTTACTCGGTCTAGCGTAAAATATATCCTTGTGCTAGTTGTCCACCCTGGCTGGTAAATTTTTTTAAATATCAGCATAAAAATATTTGGCACGTTGCCAGTCCTTGGGCAGGCTACACCGACTCCTAGTATCAGTGTTGTTAAACGCTACTTTTAGAAGTAACGCACTATCGCTACCGCTATTTTATAAAAAAAGTAGCGCGCTATCGCTACCGCTATCGTTTTCAAATGAGTAGCGCGCTATTAGCTACTTTTAACGCTACTTTGATTTTTTTTTTAAATATTTTTTTTACGTAACTTTATTTCCACAAATAAAATATTGATATAAAAACATGACTATAATTTGTTACATATATATATATAATTTATTTATTATTGCACTTTAATAATAATAACATTTCGGTACTGTCATCCCCAGAGCGACGTTTAGAAAGTATAAGCTTTGCCATACTAAATAATCGTTCAGCACTAGCACTTGAGGGCAACACAGTATTAAATTTAATAAACAAACTTTTTATATGAAAAAAATCATCAAAAATATTTAAATTAGTATTTTTAGATTTAAAAAAAGCATCTAGAGGTTAATTAAAAATACTTCAGTATATTCTTTAATAAAAGTATGCTCCTCCACATTAAAATACTGTATTCCCATTTGAGCCAATATATAATTCATTTCCATTTTTTTCTCATTTAGAAACAATGCTAAAAGTTTCATAGCATTGTAAACACTATTCCATCTTGTAGTGTTTGGTGTCAATAAATAACGTCCTAATTTTTTTTTGAAAATATCAGACGTCTTTGATGACTTATTTTGTTTATTCCAAAGAGCTTGGCATTTAGAAAATGTAGATCTTGTTACTCTTTTAAAATCCTCATTTAATAATGCTTCTTCAGCATCCACTGTCGCAACTAAATTTAGGTTGTGGCAGGAACAACGATGATGGCTAGGTAACATAGACGACTTTATTGAAGATCCTAAATATTATAAATTTTATTTTATATTGGTGAAAAATTAAATATAAAATAATTTAAAACCAAGGATGTCATGAACATCAATTATCTCAAACTCCATTTCATCATCCTCTTCTTGTTTTCCATCTTCAATATTTTTGTCAGGAATATTACTAGTATTGTTATTATTATTATCTTCCCCAAATATTCTATATTATTTATATCATATTATAAAAAAATTATAATAAATTTAAAACCTGAAGGCCTTCAGGAAATTAGACCCATTATCCGTAATCATCTTACAAACCTTGTTTTGAATTTTGTAAGACCTATGGATTTCTGCAATAATATTGGCTAGAATGTCATAAGTCTGACAGCCAATTATTATCTTTAGAGCTAACGCTACAGATTTTCGTTTAAGATTTTTAGGATCAATCCAATGTGCAGTTACTCCTAAATAAGCTCTAAAAATATGACATATTATAAATCAGAAAATAAACATTTTTACCTTCTATTGTGAGTCCAGCAATCTGCCGTTGTACAGACGTAGGAGACATCTGATAGATTTAATATCAAAGATTCTTTCATTTCCTTAAAGCTCTCCAAAATTCTTGCCATCAATGTCTGCCGGCAAAATATCTTGGTCCGTGGAGAAAAAGTGTTTATCATCTTTATAAAAGAATCATTTTCCACCAAGGATAATGGTTGAACTGTATCTATTATAAAGTTCATAATGACTTTGTCAGCCAATTTTTGGGATACACCAGGTGTTGATGAATCCAAATTGGTTAATTTTGTTTGTATTAAATTTGATTTGGAAGTGGGTTTATCTTCTTCCATTACCCCAAAACTTTTGAGATATTTTTCAATCTCTTTATAATTTGAAGTGTGCACAGTCTAAAATTATAAAATACTTAGAATAAAAATTATGTAAAAGATAAGTACATAAAAATGATTAAAATAACTATTTTAAAATGTTTTAAATAATTTAGATAAAATTTATGAATATATACAAAAAATGATGGTTTTTGATTTTAATTTATTTTAAAAATTAAAGATTAGCCTACACATTGATATTAAATTTGTTTAATATATTACCTTTAAATGTTTTTTCAAATTAAAGCTGCTCGTATGATTTGAAGAGATAATTTTGCGGAACATCTTGCACCGAAACCGATATCCAGTATTAATTTTTTCTTCAAGGTTAAAGTATTTCTTGAATTTTGGGAAAGGATCATCTATATTGCTCATTTTCCAAAGAAATTTCAATATCTTCAACAATCTCACACATAATAAGATTTATAATGCTTAATATAAAATGTAAAATGAAATATAAAATAAGATAAAAGCAAGGACATATCAATAACGGAATTTCAAAAATATATAATTTAATGAATGCGCGAAATATAAATTAAATACAGATTGCTATTTAACAACTGTTTATATCTAATATATAACAATAATGTATATTTTTAAATATAAATATAAATTTCAAAATTAAATTAAATAAAAGGATTATAATTTTAGATTTTATAAAAAATATATTTAATAATTTTGATTTTATAAAAAATATATTTAATAATTTTTAGATGTATTTATTATGTAAAATTAAAAGTAGCGAAGTAGCGCGCTACTTCGCTACTTTCTAAATTAGTAGCGAGCTACTGCTATCGCTATTTTTTTAAAAAAGTAGCGCGCTATAGCAACCGCTACTGAAAAAAGTAGCGCGCTATTTTAACAACACTGCCTAGTAAAAAGCAAATTTCAATTTGGTACTAATTATCAGTTTATTTTTATCTCTCATTCCATCAGTGTGGAACTGTTATTCTATTTGAGTTTTTTTGAGCAAATTTATATAAGTTCATTATGGTTCTAAGCTTTTATAAATTAATTAATATATTTTAATTTACTCATAATAATCTATAAAGACTAATGTTAAACGACTACATTTAGTCGACCAAATAGTTAATCGACAATGTCGTTGGCTAGCCGATCCATTTAGTGACTGCTTAATAACGTGACCATATGAATTTTTTTTTATTTTTTAAGGTATTCTTTGCACTTAATAATTGGTAACCACTTTGAAAAGATTTTTATTATTTATATTTTGAAAATTTTAAATTATATTTTCGGCTGTTTTTATAATGATATCTACTAAAGTGACAGCTAAAGAAAACTAAATACAGCCTTAAATAACATAAATAGCACTCACTTTAGCAGATATCATTGCAAAAAACAGCTTAAATACAATTAAAAATTTTTTCAAAAGGGTCACTTACTTTTTAAAGTGGTCACTATAGTAGATAATATAATTTTTAAAACAATATAAAGAATAAATACACCCCTGACTGAGCCATATTTTGTTTTTTAATTAGCCAGGCCGAACTGAATATTTTAAATCGCCATTATTAAATATAAAAATAAATATAATAAATTTAAAAAAAATCTGGGTCAGGCCGTATAAATGTAACCTCTGCAGGTCGCTGCTCATTATTAGGAGGTCACTTCTATCATTATAATTGCAAAGAATATTTAAAGAATAATTTCAATAATTTTTGACAAAAAAATCTTTTCATATGACCACTTTATTAAGTAGTCACTGGGTCGATCAAGATGGTAAATTAATCCTTTTAGTCAACTAAATTAGTCATTTTACGACTATTGATCGATTTGAGTCGCTCGAATTTTCCAAAGTTTCGTTCCATGTTTCTATTTCGCATTCACAATAAATCGATTTGGTTTTGAAAATCTTAAAATTTTCAAAATATGCTATAATATCTCAAGCAATGAATCTAGTATTAAATTTGATGAGTAATATTATTCTTTTGATATATTTTCCCCTCCTTAATTACCTTCTGTCTCAACTTGGTGTATAACAAGGTCATCTATCACATCCAAGGAACTTATTAGAATAGTAACGGATCATGTTGCATTGGAGCCGTGATAAGATAACCCTCCCCTTCTTATACAAAAAAAATCGTCCTAAAAAACGGATTAATTTTTAATAAAATTCTAAATTTTCTCTCTGCCATTAATTTTTTATAAATTGTTATTCAAACAAATATCTGGTTTTATATTTATAATCTACACTGAAATGAAATAAATTTATATTATAGTTATCTAAAATGTTAGCTCAACATTTATATCAGGGACCTGCAAATATGGAACCTTTAGGTCTGGTTTGGATTTTTTAAAATCCATTTCCAACCTGGGCCAGATTTATAAAAATTCAAGATTAAATTAAGAATATGAGAAGCAAGTAAAGGTTCTCATCTTGTGATATTTCAACTGGCTAATATCATTTATTTAAAAAAAATTGCTCCCTGGATCTAAATTTTTTATATTTTTGCATTGCCAGGGTACCGGAATCTATTATATATAAATTTATTTTCATCTTTTAAATCATTTATCCTAGTTAAATGATTTAGCCCCCAATATGCGTAATTCTAATTGTAAATTACTCAAATATAATTTATCAAAATATTTTGTAAAACTGAAGATAAATATATTTTATGCAAATATTTTTTACAAAAAAGACCTTTAGTGATGAGAAACAAATTTTTGAAAAATGAAGGAATTTGGTGGTTGATGTGAATTAAAAACTGGGCTTAAATTATTTATAAAATTTAAAAAATAAATATAAGCAATTTTATAATACAATAAAATGTGCTTCATCATTACTCAAAAAAAAGAAACACGTTACCGTTACCTCTAAAAGAAGGTAACGAATGGCGTTCCTTTTCTTCTAAAAAGGTAATGTGATTAGTAACTATGATACTTTAGAGAACTTATAATTCAAATCATAATTTATTGAAATTTAAATTTAAAATTCTAATAAAAATATACAAAACGCGCTCCAACCCGAACTACCTGAAAAAATTTTTGGGTCAGGGATTTTCGGGTTTGAAGACTAATGTATTAATATAAATTGTATTTTGTTAATTTGGTTTTAAGTTACAATTTATTGTAATAGATTAAATAGATAAACAATTTTGTAAAGGTATATATGGATATATATTTTCTTATTGTAAACATAATATATTTTTATACGTAAATAAATACTATTTGATAAACAGATTTGGCGACGATTATTTTTTTCTTTATAAAAGAGACGTATTAAATAAAAAGGTTAAAATTATACTATGCCTAACGAAGACTTGAAAAGATATTTCTGAAGAAAAACGAAGAAACATCAACTTCTACTCAATTCCATATTCTAGAATTCATCAAAGAAATAGTAAATATTCAGGACTATATATATAATATAGAACTCATCATAATAAAAAATATTGATCAATTTGTTATTAGCATACATAGGTACTGATAATTTAATTAAAAAATTTCCACTACCCAAATAATTTAGAGAGCATTAATTATATTTAACTTTACTTGATAGTATAGAAAAAATATTTAAGGATATTTCTAGTATTTTCCTACATCGCAATAATTTTTATACTTTAAAAAGAGGCGGTGAAACTATTATCGATTTTTCAATCAAATTGAAAAGTATTTGTTATTTATGTAATTTTATATCTCCGGCACTTGAGATATTTCAATCTTAGGAGTAGGGTTACCTGAGCTGAACAAAGAACTTCGGTCAAAATATACCGAATAAAATATCACTTTTGAAGATAATATGCGTTTAACGATCGCACTGTCTTCATTGGAGAAGGAAACCCAGCAGAAGTTAATAAAATAATTAAACATAAGCCTACACAAGGTTCCTAAAATACTTATTTTAGAAATAATAATAACGTAAATAAATTCAATAATATTTATTATTATCATAATGCTAACAAATTCAACCATAATAATTATAAATCAAGTTTTAAACCTAATTTCAGCCAAAAAAAGTAAAATGCTTTCGGTGCAGAAAAGCAAACCACATAGCGAGAGTAGAAAGCATTCCATACAAATAATTCTACCACAGACACCTCGCCTGCTTATAAAGCTACAAATGCGAAGATAAATGGGCTGCAGTTTACTATTGAATTTGATATCGGTGCTGCCTGTGTGATAGATGAGGTTACCAGGAGTCGCATAGGCAAACCATTATGATTGCCTGCATATAAACTAGTGGGACCGACCTTGGAAACGAATACACATTGATTTGACAGGCCCCATATTTGGAAATTATTGGTTAATTTTGCGTAGACGCTTTCACCAAATGGGTTGAAGTTGCAATTTTAACATATTAATTCGGCGAGTGTAATAAATAATCTGCGTAATTATTTTGCTAGATTTGGGTTACCTATCTCAGATAACGGTACTCAGTTTACTGGATCTGAATTCAAAACGTTTCTTTTTAAAAACAACATAAAAATTTTAGATTGGCCTCTTATAGCCCCAAATCGAATGGTTCTGAGCGTTATATACGTACGATTAAGACGCCTTTTTATGCTGGAAGGAGATGTAAGACTCCGGACCAGTTAAATTTAGCGAATGTTTTAATTACTCACCGAAATACTACAAATGCAACTACCGGTAAATCCCCTGCCGAAATGATGTTTGAAAAGCCGCTCAGGACGACGTTAGATCAAAGGAATTTATCTACGAGAGAAAGACTGAAAACGCATTATGGAAACAAAAATATTATAAAGATAGGAACGTTGAGCCCCGGGAATTTGAAGGGAAGCCGGTTTTGGTAGAAAACGAAAGGACTGCGGGATGGCATGAAGGGACAGTGGTTCAATAATAAAGTGCTATATTGTATGATATTGAATCTGAGGGTATTGTTAAAAACAAGCAATGCCGACCAACTGAGGGATGCTCATGTATAAGCTAAGGAAATACCCATAACAATGACTGAGGATTTGGACAGTGCAGAACATAATGGAAATACAACTCTTAAAAAAAGTTTCGAAACTCCCATTACGTTATCATGATGAATTCAATTTGTAGTGGGGAGAACTTTAATGTATTAATATAAATTGTATTTTGTTAATTTTAAGCTACAATTTATTGTAATAGATTAAATAGATAAACGATTTTGTAAAAGTATATATGGATATTTATTTTCTTATTGTAAACATGATAAACACCACACAGACCTCTTATTTTTAGCAGTGACTTATATCAAGACGTGATAAGAGGCAGGATCGCCAGTAAAATTCAAATTCTCAGGAGGGCGTAATTGAATAATATTGATATTTACTATTAATTTCAGTCACGTATGGAATAAAATTTATATTATTACATTTTGCAATTATTAAACTTGGTGATCTCATATATTAATTAGTATAGTGTTAATAATTTATGTATTTTATTTACAATACGTTTTTTAAATTTTTTTATAATCTTGAATATTTTGTAAGAAATAAAATTTATCCTTGATATATAATTAATCCATAGGTAGTCATAATCGTCTTATTTTTATTATGCGATATTATCATTATATTCCTTTTTCATGCAATATAATTTTGTTTCATATTTATATATAATTTATGTATGTAAATAAATTAATATTATACTATCTTGTTGTAGCAATAGCAATTATTTAAGGTTTCAGAGGTATTGTGTATATAATTTTCAAGAGTGAAGGGGGGGGGGGGAAATTTTGAGGGGGCTAAATCGTCAGTGACTTAAGAGGGTGTAGAAGCCGTTGATTAGTAGATGCCAAGTAGATTAGTTCATCTCTTCAATATATGTGAAATAAATTTGAATCATTGACCAAGCAAATTTATTAAAATTCAAAACATTTATTATTATTAATACAAATATAATGATAATAAAGTCATGTGCATATAATTATTCTTTATTTATATTTCAATTTATTATATAAATATTATTTATGTGCGCGCATAAAAATTAATGGAATATATTTGAGCCTTTAGGTGTCATTACTTCTTTCATTAGCTTGTTTATAATTTATTGTGTTAGAAAGTCAGGAATATGTGTACCCAAAGATGTGTAAAATAATATGTATGCAGCTGATGTCTAATTTTTTTAAAATTACATCTTATAAAAGTGATAAATATTTAATTATGATTAATTATCAAGAATAAAAACTACTACTATAACTATAGAATAAATAACTTACAAATGTATACAAAATTTAAGGCAACTCACCCTTACGTCGGCGTTATCTATCTGAGTGACTTGTTGATCATCGTATTTGTACCATTTTAAATCAAAGGGATTTTTACAAAAGGCTGTATAATGACCCCCATCCAATGTTCCATAATGATTCTATTCAAAATTTAATTTGTGAAAGGATTCAAAATAATAATTGATTTCAACTAAATTAAACATTCAACTGTTATCAAATAGATTTTGGATCTGACTGTCAACGCCCAATTATATAATGTTAAAAAAAACATTATTCATTTGATGGCCATTTGCAAAAGAATTTACAAATAAATTATTAAACAATAATTTCAATTATATATTTATTTTAATAAGCTAATTCTGACTTATTTTTTTCTATTATTTTTCTTCCTGATCATCATTATATAGAATAGGATGTGGCTTTGAATTAAAATGGTATCTTTTTTAATTATCTAGATTTCCAATTAACAATAAAACGTTTTTAAGTAGGTTGACCCATCCGATTTAGTTAAAAGAAAATTTTTTTTAAGCCAAATAAATGCTCATATCTCTGCAGTGCACATTTTTCAAAAGGATCATTTTACCTAACATGCACAAATTAGCATAATCCTGGATATTTTAATTTATCAATTAAATATGTTTTTAGGAGATTTTTAAATTCTTCCATTAATAAAATATTTACAAGCTATATCTTAATGGCCTATATATAAAATAACTCTTTTGTAGGATAATGTCCTTTTGTTCAGCAAATTTTATAGTAATAGACGTGCAAGAAATACGGATGTATCTTATCATAACTAATTAATAATTACTGAAATATATATAAGCATTTATTTTTATTATATATTTTTAATTAATAATTACATTCTGAAATTTTCCTATACTTTTAATCTAATGAAAATAAGCTAAAAATATAATTTTAATTAATATTATGAGAGTTGTTAAAGTGTCTAGATATAAAAATGTCGTATCTAAAATACTATTGTAGAGGTATCTCTATCTGTTTTTAGATACTTTTTAGTTACATTTTGATATACTTTTATTTAAAACTTATCTAAAAAATAAAAATATTAGAATGCAAAATTCATTTTATCTTCATATGAGCATATAATTTAAATAAATATATATTAAAAAATATTTAGACTAATATAATAATAATAAAAAAAAATATATAAAATATTATAACTTATTGTTAGAAATATGTTCCTTTTTTGTTTTGTTCCCACTTAAAACAGTATATTGCTTTATTTTGTCTTACCCTAATCGTAATTTATAGACAAAGCCTGTTTTTATATTTTATTCACTTAAACCTGGCCCTAGCCAGTTTCGAGATTGGAAGATTATCGAATGCACGTTGGGAGCCAGTGAAATAGTTGGACAGTCAAGTCCAACATCGGGGAGGGGTCGACGGAGTTCGAGGGTCCGAGATTGTCGGAGAATAGGACTGGGGTACCGGACTTAGCGGGGATTTTTGTTATCGTATTAAACTGGATTTTAAGCCGAAACTCGTATATTTATCTAAACTAAAATGGTAACCGTATTCCAAAAAAACTATTACAATATCTTTAAGACTAAAATAATAAAACATAGTTAAAAAAGACGTAAATATTTAATGATCTATAATTCTTTTTAGGTGGTCTTTATATACTATACATTTTCCAACAAAACAACAATAAAAAAAAAACCTACGACGTATTGTTATAATATTTTTCCCATGTAATGGCCAATCTCGAAACTGGATAGGACCAGTTTTAAGTGAATAAAATATAAAAAAAGGCTTTGTCTATAAATTACGATTAGGGTAAGACAAAATAAAGTATAATACTGTTTTGAGTGGGAACAAAACAAAAAAGAAACATATTTCTTTTATAGTACTATTAAACACAACACTTAAATATAAAAAAAATATATAAATATACATTAAATATTATTTTTTCCCATTAAATCTATAGTTAGTTAAAGACCCTGAAGGATATTTTTATCTTATATAAATCCTTGCTAAGCTTTGATGCCCATTAATTATTAAAAATAATACCATTGATGCACAAAATTATTTTAAGCAAATAAATTTATTTAGAATTTTTTAAATATATATTCCGCTAATTTTTAATGAATAAATTATAAGTTTAATGTAAAAAAATTTTTTTGATTATATGCTCGTTTTATATAAGAATTCTAAAGAACAATAAAAATATGTGTTAAATTTTTTTATATGGTGTTCGAATTGAATGAAAACAAAATATAAAAATGTTGTTTACGTTTTTGTGCTCTCATAATAAGAGTAGGCGAACCCTGTATATAAGTATGATAAAAATTGTATCTGTCTCTAGATATGTTTTTAGGAGATGTATCTGTACAAGAATTTAATAAAACTTAAGCTGCCCTTATGTGAGAGAATTATATATTTTCTAATATAATTGATGTCTATTTTTCCAGATCTGGCACAGCATGCTAGATCAGGAATTAGGATCTTTTAGTCATTTCCAAATAACAATTAAACTCATAGTTCGTAGATATAAAAACATTGTATTTCATCATTGCGAGAAAAGAAAGCTTAAATTTAAATATATATTAGAAATAAATTAGTTAAAAATATAATATTTTTAGGCCAATAATTTTTTTCATTATATAAAATATATTTTCCTGTTTTTTTATAAACTTTTATGTTTTCATGAATTATATGGGGTTATATTAAATTTCCTTTCATTTTGTAATTTATTTTTTCTTCCAAAAATATCAAAAAACTTTTAAATGAATTTTAAATTTATATCATTTTGTATTATAAAATATATATTCATATTCTGTTGTAAATTAAATCGCTATTTTTGTTATATAAAAAATTACAAAATTTTTTAAAAAATCCATCTTAAGGAATTTTCTTGGTACTTTATTTTCTTACTATACATTATTATAAAAAATGTTTATGTAATTATTTTTTTACATTATATCTTTTTGAATTTTATATCTTGCAAATAAAATCTCATAAATATATGAAATATTATTTAACCTTTAAATCATTATAAACATAGACTTATTAAAATAAAGGTTACTCTTTTGCAAAAGGAGATTATTTTAAAGACGTTTTTTTAATCGTTGAGCAGTCTAAAAAGTCATCTCAGAAAAAAAAAATCAAAAGGGAAATTAAGACACAAAAGCCTTTTGAAAAGAAAACTTTGAAATTTTTGAATTAAAGTAACAATGAGCATCGGTTTATAATTTAATTTTTTACCTAATTATATAATTTAGCCAATTTATTTTACGCTATTCTAATTTACTAAAGCATCATATTGAAGAAAAAAATCTGATAAGATGTATCTAGGCTTGGTTCGAGTAGCTTTAAAAACCTAAATTTTAGAACATCTGCATTAGTTTAAATTTTTTTCTTATATCGCGAGATCTCGGTTTGCTTATATGACCTACCATTTAATAATACACCTAATATTATTTTCAAATTTAGGAAACATCCGATTCTTTAATAAAATAAAAACAAAAAAATGTTGTATATCTTTATCTTCTTTCATAAATATTATTTTTTATCAAAAATATAAAAAAATGTTTGACAATTTTAAATAAAAATATTTAATAGGCTTACATAGTTTTATAGGTTAAATCGTTTCATTATGGAAACAAAACTAAACCTAGGTGATATAGAATAGAACTTGTAAAAATAGTCACATATTGAAAATATTACTTTAAGATATGTTAATTAGGTAAATTAATTTTATTATTAAAATTAATGGTTTTTTTATGAAAAATGATAAACATTTATGTTAAAAAATGTGTTTTCGACCTTAAACTTAAAAATAAGAATTTCACTGGTTTTATTAAAAATTTAAACTTACTGCAATTTTTTTATTTATAACAGCAAATTTTTATTCTGTTTTTAAAATTTAAGGTTTTTTATGAAAAATAAAATTGTTAATATACAAAATTTTTAAAAAAACATAATTTTGAATATCTAACAGTATTAGCTGTTGATGTAATATTAATACATTGCCTAATGAGGCGAAATCCCATAGCTCAAAAAAGAAAGGGTGGAAAATGGCAAAGAAAAAGGTCTTAGTCCTTCAATAAATGATAAATATCGGTAAATAAATTTATCTAATAAATTACATCAATTTCTATGATTAAAATTTTGATATGAATACCCAAATTTAACATTTCTCTCTCCTCTCAAATGAGGGATAGGAATTTGATTGGTATAAAATTTTGGTCAAATTATGTCAAACCAAAATTATTAAGAGAACAAATTAGACAAGTTTTACTGTATTTTAAATTGAAGAGATTTATTCTTCATATAAATTTAATAATATTCAATGTATTTTGTATAAAGAATTTTTGATCTTTTAAGGATAATAGTCCTGATTTTTAGCATGAAAATTCAAGGACGATATCACTTAAAATTAAGGAATATTTAAATATATGCCTATGTTAATAGTTAATACCTTCATTTTTCAATGCTTTTATCCAAATTCGGTTTAGCAGTGGATAAATTATGTAATTTATATATTGTTGCCATTTTATTAAGAAATGTTATACAACATTTTACGTAATCGATGATGTCGTGATTGTTGATAAAATTTGAATAATAAAGACGAAAAAAAGAAAAAAGGATAAATAAATATATATTGCGATTAAATCATTAACAATATTAATTTGAATGAAGGATAATTAATTTTTAAATGTATTAAATTTTGCATTTAAAGAAAGAAAACGTTTTTGTTCATATATAGTTGTTAGCTTTAATAAATTTAATTTTTGTTAATTGTAATTTGTTAACTTAAAGAAGTTTACAGTTTATCCGGCATACGATTTACTTATTAAAACAGATGTATAGTTCGCTCTTTTCGTTTCCTTATAAATTTTTTTTTTATTATTTCTCTAATTTTTTACCGAAATTGCGTAGAGCGAGTATTCCGAAAGCGTCTTGTAATCTGCGTTTAAATCCTCCCTGCTGGAAGAACAATAATTAGAGAGATCGAAACCGTTTAAAGGGAAATCGACGCAAGTCGTAATTTTTTTGTGTGTTTGTCCCTCGTTTTTAAACCTGTTTTGTAAAATTTATTTTAACACGTGTTTCATAATTTTATTTATCAAATAGCAGTTAGATATTAGAATGCTATTTTGTAATGACTTTTTGAAGTTAATATTAAAAAAATCTTATTTTTACTTCTATTTAACTCAATCAAATTATAATATTATTTTTAAAAGTAACCTCATTAAATGAATAATGAGTATGGGAGGTATGCTCCAAAGAAATAATTTTTTGCAGGCTCGAGTTCTTTTGTTGCAATTTGGACATCGCCAGTCTGAAATGGGTTCCGGGGATAAAAAAAGCCTCAAACAATCCTATTAATAATATATTTAAAAATATATTAATTCATTCAATAGATTATCAAGATAAAGAGAATGCCATATTCATTCTCTTCTTTTATAAGAATTAAAAGGATGCTAAAGCGGGAAGAAAATGAATTAAGACTAGAAAAGACCAATATATTATTTGTATACTTGTACTGTACATCTGCCATTAGCGGGCAGAGGCAACGAGAGCCCTTGAAATGTATCGAAAGTTATTGATTCCTTCGAACATTTTTGACATTGAACTACCGATTTTAATTGACCCTTAAGAAAATATTATAAATTATTTGAAAATAAAAAAATAAACTTTTTAAAAAAAATCAAATAAGGCAATAAAACTTCATGACTAAAATGGTAGTTATTAGCATTTGATTAAAGAAATATTAATTTATTCGCCCTGCAAAAAAAACAACAACAAAATTATAAAAATTCATGAGATTAGATCAATAAAACCTATTTTATATCTTGTGTATATTATGATGAAATTTTTAATACAATTTTTAAAAAATATATTATTTATAAAATATCCGAAAGCTGTTAACAAAAAACAATTTAATCAAATTATTAAATTGTAAAATCCTATACTTTTTAAAAACAAGTTTTTATAAAATTCAAATTTAAAAAAATAAAATAGTTACATGAATTACAAATTTATCAGAGACAAAAAGTACCTATATACAATTATATAAATAATTTAAAAATATCAAGTCCTCCTCAGGTGGTCAAGGAATCTTTAAAAAATTTAAACAATATTAATCATTTAACGCGAAAAAAATAAAATATGTCATCTGTAGAATAAAAAATTACCCATCTTTTTTTACTAGCTTTATCGATTTTACTTATAATTTCGAAAGGCGAATCTTTAATTTTTTCTGTATTCATATAGAATGATAATAGTAATACTTGTTTAAAATTTAATCAAAAGAGTGACCCATTTTTCGGTATTTAAAAATAGTTCTGGGCAAAAAACGCCCAAAAAATTTCTATATTTTAATAAAAAATTTATAATTTACAAGCGTGTATTTTTAATCAATCATTAATTAAGTGAAAGCAGGCATATAAAAAGGCCAATTCTTATGCGTCTTTCCCAGATATCTTCAAAAGTATAACAGCCAGAAGGCTAAAATTTTACTCAAATGTAGTCCACGAACTTTAGTTTGTATATAAAATTTTGTAAAATTCTAAAGAGGTCGGCCGAATAGTGATTGATTTGACATGGAATGGCCTTCGTGTCATAATATTTCAGGTAATTGGTCTCGCTCTATCAATGTTTTACTTAGTTCTATCACGTTTATTAAAATTTCAAGCTCGATTAACTTAATTCTAAATTATACCAGAGTTTAAATCAGCAACTTAGATCTATGAACTGGAACCTGATCTTCTTTTAAAAAAATTATAGGAATCGAAACCAAAGTCCCTTTTAAAATCTCCAGGAACTCGAATAGAAACTGGTTCAAAAAATAAAATCCGAATTATTTATGTGCATAATATTGTTCAAATTTTTTTGATTCATTTTATAACGTTTTATTTTGTTTTCAAAATTATATTTAAAAAAATTTCCTTATTGCTGATGATTATAAGCAGAGTTGGAAATCAGAACAGAAAACCCTCGAAATGAAACCCTTATTAGACCAGGTTAAACACTGCAAATAATACTCAGGTTGACTATATACTATACTTTACATAATAGTATTTAATACATTCAAAAACTTATTTTAAAAAATACCCAGCGATCTTAAATCGATTACAGTGATTTATTTTATAATGATATTAAATATAGGAAAAAAACGTAAAAATTTATAAATTTACACTCATCAAATCAACTATAATGGAGTCATTAGATTTTCGATAGGCTTTCCAAGCTTTGGATGAGGCGAGAGAATCGGGAATGTTCATATTTGTTTGAGATTCATTATTTTGATTTTGCGTGTCAGTAAGAACCGAGGTATTGGCTATGTTTAAATCCTCGTGGAGTCCATCTATTAGAAACGTTAATAATTCGTGACTATCCTGCTGTGTCCCGATCTCTATTAAGGGGGCGTATTGCGACATCGTGTTCTGAATAGGATGTACAATATATATAGTAATTGCAAAAGTCTTCCAAATATTCTTAATTTAATTACAAAAATAGCTCCTATACCTAAATCCATAAAATATCTATTATATAAACAATTTTAATCAAAAGGCTACATAAAAAATATATATAGTAAATTAATTCAAAATATAACTTCTATTTACAATCTTTTTTTATCGGCAAGTAAGAAATATTAACAATAAATTAGGAAAGAAAGAACATTCCTTACAGAAAAACTGATGGGATTTATGGAAAGATATTCCGCCCTCCAAAGGGCTCCAACAACGCCCGCGAACTCTGCAGCTAATGATCTTTGCTGTGATTGGTTAAACTTTTTGTTTTTCCTTACAATATGAAAATATAAAAAATTATGTAAAATGAATAAAACTAATCTTCAAAAAAGGAACTTATAACAAAAAAATTTTTGTATGACAATTTTTTAAAAACTTATTATAATTTAAATGCTTGAGGTATCGCTTATTAACAAAGTATTCGGCCAAGGGTGTAGTGTGGGATAGGCCTTGCAAGATCGAATTGATGAAACAAGAGTTCCCGGTGTTCAATATGCCTGTCAAACCATAGTTCTATGAGTTAAAATTATGTAAAACATATTTAAAAAATTACAAATATATGTATGTGTAATTTATTATACAATCCTGCAATAGGGGGGCACAAAAAGAGTGGAAGGGCGGGTGAATTTAAATATTTTACTGGCGGAATATTAAATTAAAATTTTATAATTCCCCCCAAATAATATTTATCTCATATTTCCTTTCTCTATCAAAATATTTCCTCTTATAATTCTCATTCCCGCGGCAGAAATTATATTAGAACCTGAAGGAATACACTCAATTTTTCATAGCCTTATAGCAATCAATCGATGAAAAGTATAGAAATTAATGCGATCTTAGATTTAAACCCCCCCCCCCCGACCTTAGAGTTTTCGCAGAAGCACGGCCTACCCTCTCGTTCTCGCTAATCATAGTCATAGCCTCTTAAAATAATCACTACTTCTAAATATATTTTGTAAAATGAATACCGGGATAGAATGGGAATAATTATTTTGTTGGGCAGAAGCTAACGAATGGCTACTAATGTTAGTTAAGTTTGGTACTCTTGAGCTATAAGTTGGTGTATCAAGGTTTTCGTAGGAATATGATCTTTGAGGGGAAAAAAGTGTGTATAACATTTTGTTATCAAAGAATATCGTTTTTTTAAAATATTCATTTCCCCTCTCAAGTTAAAAGAGTTTGATAAATAAATAATTAAGCATATATGCAACTTAAAATATTATGATCACCTAGTATTTAATTAGAAACATATACCTCGAATTAATTTCTTCTGCCGCGTGATCTTTGTGCCGATCAGATTCAGTGGCTTCATTATCCGCTTCTAACGGTGGGTAATTCTTGTACTTCAAAGGGGAATCCTCTTCGGATGACGATGCGCGATTTATTAAGTAACCAGTATTTACGTTTTCCGGGTCTTTGTGTTGGTCGTTTACGGAGTCGTAATATCGATTTCCACCCACGAGGGTATTTGTCGACAATTTAAGAGAGGAATTGGAAGGTTTATAAGGCTTTAGGGACCGGTCAATTTTCGGAAAATTAGAGAGGGTAGAAGAGGAGGAATAATCTTGAATATTCACCGCTTTATATTTCGGCTGATAATCTGGTGAAAACAACGAATGTCCGTTCTAGAAGTAGAATGCGTGTTCAATAAAAAATGTATAATGTTAATAAAATTCATATTAGATTTAAAACCAGTGAAGGTTAGCCGATTTTTTCATTAAAAAAATTAGGATTGTGGAGCGGTCTAAACCGCTCTGGTTACCTTCATTATTTAAAATAATCTAGCGTGAAAAAAAAGACGTAGTATCATTTCATTAAATTAACTTTGGTATGTTTGACTGGATGATTATCATCCTTAATACATTCATTCTGATCATGACCCAAGGAGATTTTCAATTTGTTAAAATATTTTATGCCGGCATCTAAGTTGGAAATCTGCTGGGGCCTACTCCCACAATCGAAATCATCCGTCCCCAATAACGAATTGGGGAGTACTATTGAATGGCAAGTGTTAAGCAAATCGGGATTAGATCTGGTTCTGCAAAATGGCGAGTTGTTGGTAGGATAGGAAAAACGAGTATAATTGGGGTTATGATTTTGGTAGTTTATATGATAAGCAGTGTTGAATTGAGAGTTGATAGAATTATTCTCGTTCCCAAAAGTGTTGTAATGAGGATTTGATATGGGTATTTCCGGTTGCGCGTAATTAGATGAGTTTAAGTTATTATCGCGTCTGCGGTCAAGAACATCTGTATTATAATTGGGACTAAAATAATTAATATTAGTTAAATAGGGATCATATTTGTAAGGAACCGCCTGGCTATTTACGTAGGGACTAGCGTGATAAGTGTATTGTGAAATTTTGGCGTCGTTATTGAGAAGATAAGGTGCGGACTGGATCGGAACATTATATGGCATTTGATAGCTACTCGCTTCATTTATATGGATATCGTTTAATGGGGGGATATTTGGGAAATCTTTTATTAATATTTATTATAAATATATTTTTGAAAAATATATAGAGAAGTAAAATGACCTTTATAAAACCAATATATTATCATAAATTATAAAAAAAAGGATCTTAAAAATACATAATATAATATGGAGAATATTTAGAGCAAAGTAAAAAATAAAAATTTATCGTATAATATTTTTTAAAGCTCATTTTAATGGCTATTGTTTATGTGTAAGGAAATGTATAACTATTTTTGATCTTATATATTATTATATACCTTTAATAAATTCAACATATATATAAATTTACTGGCATAAAAGCAAAACTATTAAAAAATTTATTTATTTTGCAGCATCCATCCGAAATTATAGTGAAATGAAGGATAAAATAATATAAATGCAATAAAAATAACCGATCAAAATAAGTTATTGATGCGGTCAAATCCAAAATTTATTATATTATTATCTTTTTATAATACAATATATTATGTTGATCTTAAAATGGAATAAAATATTATTCGTGTGTTCATAATTTCCAGAGTTGTCAAAGTATCTAGATACAAAAATGTGGTATCTGTGCTAGATACACTTTGATAAAAAGTATTTGTATGAGTTATATCCATTTTTAAATACACTTTAATATAATTTGGGTTCAAAGATTGAATTTCCTTGGCCAATTTATAAAGCCAATTATTATAAGTAAGAGAAAAAAAACCTGGCTATTAACAAATAATATACTTTCCTTCTTATTAAATTAAATCATAATGGAATTTTTATTTATAGTGGATACAAATTTATTTATTTTAAACGACTCTTAATTCAATCCCACAACTTAAAAAAAAATACAATTTATAAACGAAAAAAATAATAAAAATACAATTATTTATTTATTACGATTCATTTAATAGTCAGGTTTTTTTCTTACTTATAACGTGTCCCACCAAAATAACTCCTAAGCATCTCCCAGACTCCTGAACATCTCCTCCAAATCCGAATTGGTCAGACAACATTCCAACTAGTCTTCGAAAATTCCTTCTGATCCAATTCCATTATCTCTCCGACCTCTTCATTTTCTGTCATTACTTCCCTGAGCTCTCTATCCCAACCGTTTGGCTTGATAATTAGCCGGCTATCTATCTCGGTTTCATTGACGGATCCAGCTACATTCTCATCTCTTGTTAAGTTGATTATGTGCAAACTATTTGATTTTATTCTCCTTGTAACGGTTGTCCCGGTTATTCCAATCTCTTCTCCAGGTGCAACTGACCCTTAATTATTCCCGCGCATTTCTGCTATAGATCTTTGATTGTTAGCTGCTATGTATGGGTGACCTTCCGCTTGCCTTTCTGGACATCAGTTTACCCTACGTCAGAGGGAGTTACATCTATAACATCTAATTCGCCGTCTCTCTTCATGTGGTTCTCCGGCTCTTTGACCGCGCATCCTTATAATAACCCCTTGTGGCGAACCAATGCTTATTCGAATCTCTATATCATTCATATACCGTCATTAATTTGAGAGTATATTCTCAATATTTCTCCTATTTTTATTTCCGGTACTATTCTACCTCTTACATGTGTAATTCATGGGCAAATATGCCGCATAAAGACAAAAAAGTGCATGATCGAGAGCTATACAGCCACGGGAGCGAATACACGTAGACCTTTTTGATTTTGGACGCTAATGGGAAGAGTATGAAGAAGTGAGGGGATTGGAGACTCAAGTGATAGTAAAAACATTAAAGAATCTATGGACCCGGTTCGTGGTGGTAATAATTGTATGGGACAAGGGGTGCAGCCTTCGTAATTAGGCATCTCAAAGTATTTTGTGCAGAAACTGGGACAGACTAATTTTAGCCCCGCCATATCACCCGAACTCGAATGGTCAGGCGGAGAGAATGGTGGCAATGGTCAAAAATTGGTTTCGAAAGGCGTAGTGTGGTGAAAGAGAGATTTGGGTAGCAGTAGCTTATTCAAAAAATAGTCGGAAGGGAGAAAAACAGTCCTCAGAGAAAAAATTCACTGGGCAGCAAACCCGAATTTTATTTGATTCACTGAAAAAAACTCTGGATTAAGCGGTAGACAGCTAAGACGTCGGAATTCATGGTAAAACAGACGGTGTGGGCAAGGATATTTGGAAGAACTAAGAAATTGGTGTCTAGGGTGTTGAGAATATTGGAAAATTATGTCGGGTGAGATATGCCGATGGAGGAGTTACGCACCGGGACCAAATACGTAAGAGGGTAATCCCAGAAGATTGAGATCGGTTCCAGGTACTGACTTTTAACCATCGTAAGTATTAAAGAATTTGCTAATGATTGGGGGAGGGGGAATCTAATGGAGCGACCTAATATGAATAAGCTTAATATTGGCCCAAGTTATGGATATGGTTATTACCAACACCGACGCAAAGCTTATCTGCGGCTACAAACGGACAAAAATGAACAGACTTAGGGAACTAAGGAGCCCACGATATTAATATATCAGTAATAGAGCTAGAACTATGAGAGGAGAATGAAGGAAAAAGTTATCATCGATGGATGACGAGTAAGTTAGTATACCCAAGAGGTAGAACAGTACCGGGAATAAAAATAGCAGAAATAGTGATAATATACTTATTCTCAGTTAATGACGACTCATAAAGTGTGGCATATGAGTGATATAGAGATTCGAAAGAGAATTTGTCCACGACTAGATGGGATTTTCTGAAGTTTATAGTCCACCTGTCGGTGAACCACAGGATATATTTTAGATGTAACTCCCACCGACACAGTGAACTGATGCCCCGAAAGGCAAGCGAAGATTTGGGACGACGTCAAAGCCGAAGAGGGTCACCCATGCACTTTGTAGCAGGTACCAATCGGAGGCCTGTGGCAGATGCGCGGGAATAATTATGGGCCAGTTTATCCTTGAGAAGAGATTGGAATTACAGGGACAATCGTTGCAAGTGGTATAGAATCGAATAGTTTGCAGATAGACTTAACGGGAGATGAGGATGTAGCCGAAGAATCAGCTAAGATAGATAGCGGGCTAACCATAGAGGTTGTAGACAATGGAAATTGATTTGAATGAGGAAATTTGGAGGATGGTCCGACCGATTATATTTAGAGGAGATATTCGAGAGCCTGTGGGAGGGGGGGGGTACATAGGAGTTATGTTAGTGGGACATGTTATAAGTAAAAAAACGTGACTATTAATAAATAAATAATAGTAATAAATAAAGACATTTGTGTTAACGTTAAGGCTGTGTCCTAAATCTAAAAAATCTCTTATCTTATCTTGCACGTTGGTCATAGACCTGCCAAAAGCGAACGTAAATTATATGAAGGCCTATCTTTCATATAATTATGCCAGTTTTTTTCTCAGGATACCGACAAACCTTTAACCCAGATGAAACTAAATTTATGAGTGGAACTAACCCAGTACCATTATAGTAAATAATTTGATTTAGAAAAATACTGATTAAAGTCTTCCAAATACAACTGACAAATGTTAATTTATAATTTAATTTAGTTTTAAAAAAAGAAGAAAAAACTTTAAGGGGCCATTAATTTTTAATAAAAAATAACATGTTATTTTATGTTAAAATAAAACATTGTTTTAAATCATTTTTCGCCATTTAAAATTTTTTTCAAAAACAATATGAATATTTATTTGGGTAATTTTTATGAAAAAACTAATAAATAATATTAAAGTATGTTATTTTTCGATTTTATTACCGCTATTTTTTGGGTTTGACTAAACTGCAAATGGTAAGGTAAACTGCAAATGCCAATGCCTAGGTAAAAAATTTTGATATATATTCTATTAATTGGGGTAAGATTCATTTTCTTATGATATGTATAACTTATAAAAATTATATTATTAGATGTAATCAATAGAAAATGAATAGATATTAATAGTTACATTTCCTTTTATCTCATAATAAATAGTTTAAATCTATTAATAGAAATAAATTAAAAATTTTCTTTGTTTTAGTATATTTTAAAATCATATTATATTATTATTTAAAAAGGTGTTTGACTAAACTGCAAATGCCAAGGTAAATTGCAAATGCTTAGGTAAAAATTTTTGACATATTCTCTATTAATTGGAGTGAGTTCATTTTCTTATGATATGAATATCATATAAAAATTATATTATTAGATTTAATCAATAATAAATGAATAGACATTAATAGTTGTATTTTCTTTTATCTCATAATAAATAGTTTAAATCTATTAATATAATTATCTTAAAAAAAGTATTAATATAAAATCGGCTAGTTGGCGTATTATTATTTAATTTTTATCATCTATCCATGAAACGAAAATATTAATTTTTTAATTTGCTTTTAATTATTTTTATCATTCATAAAATTAATCCAATTACTTGCCGACAAACGTGAAAATCATTACAGTCTCTTTGGCCCATCATTGCCTAGAGGTGCAGGATCAAAATTACAAACAATACCTCTCATAGTTTTCTTGCACATTACACAAACCCTCAAACTTGTAACAAGCAATTTTGTAACATCAATTTAAATATTCATAATCCTATATACATAGTTTTGCTAAGAAATTTTAATTTTTATAATACAAATATTCTTATGTTAAAAAATAATATAAAACAATGTCAACAATTTGCAACATCTGTGCTAAACTAATTAAAGTGACAAAGGGCAATCTTTTATATAAACATAGTTACAAAGGGTCAACATGTCCTTCCTCTCAAAAATCTCCAACCAATGAAATTATAACAATACCCAAACCCTTATTAAATATTATTGAGCCTCATCCTCCCCCTATTAACACAGATTTTCTTGAAAGATTTTTTGAATGGAAAAAAGGACCCACTTTAACACATCTACCAAATAAATTTAGAAACCTAATTTTAAATTTTGTTATTAAACTTATCACAAAAGTTAATGATAACTTAAATTGTTTAAAATCATGGGAAGACTTATTAACCTTCTCTCACAAATGTCTTATACGTCCCGCTAACAAAGAGACCCCATTACATGAACAAATAAAATCAAACATTGA